ATCATTTCCAGAGAGGCTTTAGGACCTAAGGTGATCGTAGGACATTTCAAATTGTTACTATTGAATTCATTGATATCAACCGGACAAAATCAGGCATTTCAGGGTGAGAATCACGGAGATGGGACTGATGCACAAAACTGTACACCTAAATATCAATGCATATTCAGAAAATAGTTTGTTATATTGTAATATGAGGCATTACTGTTGAAGTAAATTTGAGTCTTGAGACTCAAATGTGATTCGAAGTGCAGCTGAGAGATAATTGAGACACAGACTACATTCAAAAGGATATTATATCACATTCTGCGTGTTTTCCCACTGCATTCATAAACTCAGGTGCTAAATGCTAAGATCACAAACTGAGGATGATGAGTGAGATTGTGCAGTATTATAGTCAAGATGGAAGATTTGCACATCTTTCTTAGTGAACAGCAACTTGTCACCTTCACGGCAACTGACACAGTGTTACAGAAATCAGCTATTTTTGGCCCCAAACTGTACCTGCTAATAATCACAACAATTAAACAGCTTCGTGCTCTGCTGAGCCCTCAGCAAAAAATACGTTAGGTGTCATAGTTGAGAAAGTCACATGCCAGGCAGAGGAACATACTTGTTCACTCTTCACTCTGATTTATTTTCTGTCAGAAGATCTCCTTCAAATGATTCACATTGGCTCATTTAAGATGCGAGGTAAATAACAAGATGCCCTAGGCCTTAAACCGTGCATCATGTTGTGCATACTTAAGAATTATCCCGATTCAGCAGGTTTCTCTCAATATAATTAGGAGAATCCCATGATCATTTGGTGCAGTGCAGGTCCATGTGGCTATTTTGCAGGGCTTGTAGTCATACTCTGTTCGTCCATCTGTCTAATTTAGCTGTCAGTCTGTCTTTGTGTGATCCTTTATTATGGGATGGAACAAAAAAGGGCAGCTGGATGAGGAGGAGAGCAACACACCTGGCAAAAAAAAACAAGTCCTTAATGAGAACCATTTTTAAAATTACAATAACATAACAAAGCAATGACTTCAATTACAGGGACATAGAAACCTTGTGTGGGGTCAATTCCACTGAACAAAGCATTCTGAAGTATTAAAAGTGTCTACAGGGATGCCTGTGCACCTTCTTAGAAATGCCACCAACACTGCTAAATAGAGAAGTAGTTGTTGTGAAAATACTGAACAATTCTCAAGGAGCTTTTAGTTACTGGACAATCTTCTGTATGTTTTAATCCCTCAGTAAACCCATCAGTAGTATGTTAAGCTTTGTTAGGTGGGCTCTTAAAAATTCCAGTCCATGAATACCCTAAGTTACACTATTATTTTTTCCATATCATTATTTCATGTTTTTCCCTTGCTGAGGCTTGCTCAGGGAATCATCTTAAGGTCTTGGTACTGAAGTGAAGTACCTCCGCGACTCTGGCATCTAACCTGTCTTTATGAATACATTTCAAGCCAAGCTGGGTTTGCTTGGACAAGCATGGATAAAGCTGTGGAGAGAGAGACTGAAAATACCACAAACAAACCCCATGAACCAAACAGAGGGAAACAAATGAAATATGAGGTTTGATGAGGTTTATATATAAAACCTGTTGGTTTGGTTTGGTTTTACTGTCATAAAGCAACCTACACATAACACGCTCAAAGTATAGCCACATGGTCCAAAAATAAACAAACAAAAATACATGTTTGCTGTGTCCCTAATCCATACTAATTCCATAAAGTATGTACTACATACTGCCATAGTCTACTATTTTAGTGTATGTCACACTGGATTTCAGTCAAACTGCAACTAAAAGCTTATTAAACTTTGCAAAAAGACAATAAGATGTTTTTTCCTTAAAGGTCCAGTGTGAAAATTATCTATTGGCAGAAATGGAATATAATATGCAGAGGTATGCCCGCCATGTTTAACTGCCATGTTTCTACAGTAGCCCAGAATGGACAAACCAAACACTGGCTGTAGCACATTTACGTTTTTGGCAAGTTTCGCGGCCACCATAGTTCATTCTACACTCTTCACAGCCTGTTCTCATTCCCACATCGTCAAATCCAGTTAGTTGCAATCTGCAGCTACACTACTAGATGCCACTAAATCCTATACACTAGTCCTTTAAGATTTAATACTTATTTATTGTTTTCCAAGATTTTTGTCGAGCTGTTTCACCACCATCCGCAAATTTTAGTTGGACGTTGAAAGTCGTTTTCACTGGATAAAATCATATCAGCTGTTGCTAATTAATGTAAGTGTTAAAGTAGGTTTGAGCATACTTTATTTTGTTGATACACACTACTGTACGTACTAAAAACCTGTTGAGAATCAGTATGTAGTATGGAATTGGGACATGGCGACAGATTCAATCCAACATGAAGCAGAAACACAAAATACAGAGTTAATGTAAAACGCAGTATAAATAGCATATAACATAAACACAGGGATAATGTATACAATTAAAGCATGACATTAAAGCAAAACACTAAAAGTTAAAACTTATTTTCATAGTGATCATGGCCTACCCCAAATAATGATAACAACAAAGACGGCTGTGTCACTGCTTTATTACTGACATGCAGATTTAATTAGTAGATACAGTATTACTCCTTATACAAATTGTACATTTTTACTAAAATATGATATACATTCACCCCCCTCTCCTCTTTGCGAGGATCTCATGTCCTCTGGTGAGCTGCTCCAAATTTTAGCTCCCACACACTGACAGAATTTATATACAGAAGAACCATATCTCTCAATTCTGACTGAATTTTGATTATGTCTAGTATTATACACCTATCCTTCTAGTGCAGTCAAACACCTGAAAATAATGGTGCCAGGCCATTTAGGCATTTATACACATGGCTTGTGACTAAATACTGACCCCTGTTAGCAATGTTTAATTATTTTAGTGGTGCCTTAAAATTCCTGCCACCAAATGCATTACACAAATGACGGATTACTCATTAGTGTCACCTAGATAATTTATTAGATCCCTTCAAACTAACCACCTTTCTGCAAGTTTTTAAATCAGCTTTCTCTCTCTCTGTATTGTATCACAAACACTCTGTGGCCAAGGGATAAAGTCAAGATAAAACTCCAGTTACATTTTTATTTTTTTATTTTACCCAAATAAGTGATCTAGGCCACTGTGGTGTTCATCTTGGTGAGGTTGCCTTGAAGTCAGATGTTTAATATCAAGGGTTATCTGTGTGTATGTGTGTGTGTGTGGGTGGATGTGTGTGTGTGCCAGCCTACAGGTCTGCAGTCTGTGATAATGAAATGCTGCATGTGGCAAAGAGGCATCTAGAGGGAAAACGGGGCTGTTTTTCATTAGGATCATGTTTCACTGAGTGCACCTTTCTCGTCATTTTGTTTAGAGACACAAAAACATGACGACAGATCCTCATCAAAAAGGCACACTGTGTATCATTACCAGGAAACACCCCTGCTTTCTGTTTGGTGAATCACTGTGTGCCATAGGGATGAAAAATTCCATTTACACGAACACGGTTTACCTATTACAAAAACTGACACGGTGCAATCCCTGAAAATAGTCCCCTGTGTTGAGAAACACAACAACTACAACAAAAAAAAATCTAAAATTATGATCACTCAAGAAAGGCTTCGTGCTTGAGCTGACCTATTTATTTTTCTATTCAAGTTTCTTATGTAATGTTTTTCTTTCGCCAGCACATGCGTCGGTAAAATCTTTGGAGCAGTGGGAGCAACAGTAGCCTGCCATGATGCAAGTTCTTGCATTTATAAAGTCTTACTATTTAAAAAGCTACTACTGTGTATGTTGTAGCAGTAGAAAATGTATTAAATATAATAAAACTAATACGATTATTTATTTTTTATTTAAGACGGTTTCAGCAAGCACGTTCTGCAGTGTGTAAAACATGTCATGCCAAGATGAGACATATTTATGTTTCACAAGTGACCCGTACTCATGAGCCTGACATGCTCATCAGCTCAGCTTGGCCAGCCTGCTGTTGCGCATGGGAGCACTGAGGGTGGGTGTTAAAGGGCTCCGTGGGGGTTCAGGATCAGTAGCTCTGTGTTGAGTTTTAAAAGGAGGCCAGTTTGTTGGATGCCGTCATACTTCGCCCTGTAAATCTGCCTGTAATATCCACAGAACACAAATAATTGTTTTGCCACCAAAGATGAATGAGTGAAAGTCAGTGCCCGGCTTCTTCAGTCTTCTTATAATCTAAAAACCACAAACCAGGCCAGACATCTTGGTGTAGTCACGGACTCTGACCTAAATTTGAATTACCACATTAAGACGATTACAAAATCAGCCTACTATCACCTGAAGAATATATCACAAATTAAAGGACTTAAGTTTCAGCAGGATTTAGAAAAACTTGTCCATGCGTTTATCTTCTCTAATGGTGTCGTCACAGGTCTCTCTAAAAGGTCGCTTAAACAGCTGCAGCAGATTCAGAGCTCTGCTGCTAGAGTCCTCGCTAAGACGAGAAGAATGGATCATATTATGTCATTTGTTGGATCTTTACATTGGCTTCCTGTTTGTCAAGGAATTGCTGCTCCGTTTTGAACCGTCCAGACGCCTCAGATTGTCTGGGACAGGTCTGCTTACTGTCCCCACAGTAAACACCTAACACAGAGAAGCAGCATTCAGTTTACATGCACCGCATATCTGGAGCAAGCTCCCAGAAAACTTGAGGTGCTCCAACTCTCAGTTCTTTTATATCAAGGTGTAAGACCTTTCTGTGTGTCAGTTCCTTTTATTAAATTTCATTTTGGACTATTTATCTAGCATTTCTTGCACTGCACTGTAGCTCCACTGTAATTTTTACACTCCTGTTTAATATATCATCTATTTTATTAACACATGTTCTTTTATATTGTTTTTATATTTATATTGTTTCTTTTCTTAATACCATTTATGTCTTGTCCCTATATTCTTCACTCACTTGCCATCATTATTTTTCGCTAGAAGCTTCTTCTAGCGTATAATCTCATCAATATTCTTTCCTGTGCAGATACCCCAGGTGAGCTACGCCTCCACAGCTCCAGAGCTCAGTGACAACACCCGCTACGACTTCTTCTCACGCGTGGTTCCTCCAGATACCTACCAGGCCCAGGCCATGGTGGACATTGTAAAAGCCATGCGCTGGAACTACGTCTCCACAGTGGCCTCTGAGGGGAACTACGGAGAAAGCGGCGTCGATGCTTTCATTCAGAAGTCTCGGGAGGATGGTAAGCCCTCTCGTCTCATATATCATTACTGCCTGTCTAGCACTGGGCGTGGGAAGATGTTATTCCCTGCGAACGTTCTGTACTGTAGAAAATCGGTGAAGCTCCGAGACATGCAAGAAAAAATCAATTAGTGAGGTCAAATGTTAGATTTGATCCCGGAACATGTAAACAGCCAGAGGTCAAATACAAACTTGAACATGTACTATCATAACACATAGAGAGGCCTGAAAACAGCACAGGATGTGTTTTTGTTGCAACTACAGATTTTCTTATGTTGTAAATGGCTTTAAAGCTCCATTGGATCCAAACATCCACTGCAGCCTTACACCACTTCAGTCACTTTTATACCTTCATCTCTGGCTATGCAGCAAAAAGAGTACCTCAGCAGCAGTTACAGTCCCCTGTCAGTGTCTACACTGGATCTCCTTTGCCCCAATACTGCTGTATACTCAGATGGCTTTTTAAACATTTATTTATATATCCTTAACCAGTGAAGCCTCACTGTAAATAAAAAAAAATATTTTCATTGTCCTGCCCAGACGGCAGCAGTGTTAAACAATACACAAAACATAAAACAGAGTAAAATGTGCCACAAAAATCACAATTAAACAGAAAAATGATAATTTCTAATACAATCATGTAAAATATTTAATCCTGAAAATAACCTACATGGTACCTTAAAGGTCCATAATTTAGAACATTTAGTAGGATCTATTGGCAAAAACAGAATTTAGTATTAATAGTTAATACACAACAACTAATGTTTTCATTAGTGTATAATCACCTGAAAATAAGAATTGTTGTGTTTTCATTACCTTAGAATGAGCTATTTACAGAGGGAGCGAGTCCTCTGTAACAGAGTGCGCCACGTTGAAACTGCCATGTTTCTACAGTAGCCCTGAAGAGACAAACCAAACACTGGCTCTAGATAGGGCCTTTTGTGTTTCTCCTTCATACTTGGTTGAGTCAAGGCATTTCAGTTGGTTTGAATCTATGATACCACCGCTAGATGCCGCTAAATCCTACACACTGGTCCTTTAAAACAAAGCTGTCGAAAACTATAAACATAACTTGACAGTGCTCACCACCCTCCATGGAAAAAATTTAATTGAAGACTTGAAGTTCAAATAGATACTCCAGGTCAGAATTACTCCTGCCCCTAAGTAATCAACTTACTTTAATTAAAGTTAGCAACAACTGATGATTTAACCAGTGAAAGCGATGGTCAAAGCCAGCTAAAAATGAGAAACTGCTATGTATCTGAATGCCTTGTATATTGCTCTGTGCTAATAAGATGGAGATTGTAGAAGAAATGTATCTACAAACGTATATACAGTCCCGGTTTTAGAACTCAGAGTCACTTGCACCTGAACGCAACTGACTTTTCACAATTGCACAATGCTCGCACTGTAGAGTCCTGGAGGTGTCAGTGAAGCAAGAGCAGTTACAAGGTTGTTGTTATAGTTGTTCTGGGTAAAATGGAAGCATTCATGTTCTCTCAGATTGAAATCAGATTGTTTTGGTTCTCTGGCCCAGACTGTATGCCTGAGTCCACCATGGTGCTCATCAGTTGGTCGACCGATATAAGACTGCAGGTAGCCATTTGCAAACAACAGTAAACAAAGGACTCTACCTGCCCAGAAACATGACAGAGCTGAATTAAACTAGTGTTTGCTTAACAAAGTTGAGCATCTAGCAGATGTTGTCTGAGGAGTTGGTGTTGCTCTATTCTCATGTTGCTCAGTGTCTGCTGAATGTGTAAGTAGGCAGTTGTTTGCTGCTTGCTTGATGATAAAATGTATGCTAGAGTTCAATTTCTGAGTTTTCTTCCTTTTTGTATAAAAGTGTAATTTAAAAAAAAACACATTGACTTTATTTTCAAACCATATGTTAGGCTTCATGATTAAACCAAGCCTCTGCTACTAGAAGTGATTTTATTTCAAAGTCATTGATTCCAGTAACTTAAAACTATCCCCAAGATCTGACAGACCTCAGTCTGTTTAAAAATGAACTCGGGAGCTAAATGTACAGGTTCAATCAGCATTTTGTGCTAGAGAGCTAAACATTTGAGAAACAGGATTTCTCCCATGGAAATTCACACATCAAAAACCACACATCAAGATTTTTAATTTGGCCTAATGTAGGAGTCTTTGGATCCTCCTCTCTTTGTATTCACCCCTTTCCAACAAATTACTCTACTGAAGGAGTTCCCAAGGAGTTTGAGGGTTTGGGATGGCTCAGTATAAGTGTAATTAAAAGGATGAGACTTAAAGGTGCCCCAGTCATGTCTCTGGCTTCCACTGTGCTTTGACAGAATGAGACTATCTTGGCTGTGGTTGCTCATCAATTATGTCTGTCACACTCCAAACACTTCATCCGCTGGGCACAAGTCAGGCACAGCTGAAGGCTGGAAAATAAGTGATGCTGGGTAAAACATGTTGGGGATTTTTTCAAGGCTGAGAAATCATGTAATACATGTCCTTCAGATTGTTTCCAAGAATCTACAGTAGATTGATTTTATTTGATCCGTAGAATATATTACCCAAGCTCAGGTACAATTATTTGATAGTGTCACACTGAAAACAATGAAAACACTGCCAATAACCTACAGTGCGGTGCATACTGTACTGTTACATGATTTAGATTCAAGGAGTACTTACAGTAGAGGTCCACAACTCTCAACAGAAACAGTTGAGCTCCAAGACATAACTATTAGGGTTAAATCCATGAGGAATTTGATGTATAGCTTTAAATAACTTTTTGTCCAGTTTCCAAATAATGGAACACATTTGCTGTCTGAGAAAAGGAACATAATTATATGCACATCACTTATAGATGTAAAGCTTATGGAAACCAACATTAATGAAGAAGTTATATTTGTACACATTCCAAGCAATATATTTATTTAAATTAATTTAGCAGTTTTATTCAGGAATGTTGCCTGTTTTGCAGAATATGCTATGGTTGAATCTGCAAAGACAGATTGAGTCCATTACAACCCGTAAACTCTTTTTATAATTACTGTACTTTAAAATATCTATTACGTCATCATTATAAAGTTCATTCCAGGTTTTGTTTCAGCTCTGAGTGGATATATACCTCTCTCCAATCAACATGTATCAAATCAAATCACATCAAAGTAACTGGCTCTGAAAAATCAACAGATATTACTAATTAGATATTTTCCTGCCAAGTGATTAACATTCAGTTTAATCTCTTAATTGAATTGAATGCTCTCCATAATGTACTCTTACGGTATTAAGCCAGCAAATCCCTTAACAGTGGAAATATTTTATGTTGAAATATTATACTGCACTTGCACGCTAACTTTACCAGATAGCATAGTTTCAAGCTAAATGTACCAAGAAAATAAGCTGAAAAGGCAAATTCCCACAGCAACAAACTTGGCAGCCCAGTGCCACCTGTTTGAAGTTGCATCAGCAGAGCTTTCCCTCTTAACAGAGCTAGCAAATATAACTCAAATATAACCACATTGTGGGTAAAAAGCAGATGATGAAAGGTAAATATGAATTCCAGGTGGGATTTTTTGATCTCTGCTTTTGTATCTCTCTTCGTGGCATACAGTGCCTAGAGCTGGGAATCGGTGGCCTTCAGTGTTTCCCTTCTTGGGGTATTTGAGCAGCTTCTCATCTCCCATGTACTGACCCAGGATGTGATCCCTTCTAAAGGGAGAGATATAAGAGCAGATGTAAGATACACAGAGATGGAGAAAGAAATCGCTTTGTAAAAACCACTTGAGGAAATGTGTGAAATGTGTGAAAAGTGTCTGTTTTGCTTCAAATGTTAACCCAGAAACTGTCATATTTACAATTTATTACATTTAAATCAGAGTATAGTGTGTAGGATTTTAAGTAATATTAGACAAATACCTCTTTTGGATGTTTTTGTTAGTACCAGACTAATTGAAGGCTTTTACCTGGCAATGTGCATCTTGCAATAATATTTAAATAGTGAAGAAATCAAAGCAAACAGCAGGACGGTGAGGTAACAAGCCTCAAAATAAGCACTTACGGTATAACACCAAATAATTTAGTAGGAGCATCTTAAGTGATGTATTTCTGGTTGATATAGACACAAGATGCTTTATTTCCTTAATTTCAAAGGGCCTATTTTCTGGAACACACAGAGTTTCTGAAATGGAAAGTTTATAATGGTCATCCGGGGTCTACTTATGGTCTCTTACTGCTTACTACTTTGGTATTTATGAATATACGATTCTTTTTGAGTGCAGCCCGAAACAAACAAGACATGGAGGGGCCAGTCAAGTGTGGGCAGAGGAAGCCCAGAGAGTCCCATCCTTGACTGCAGACAGCTCCTCTCTGCAGAGATGTTGATTACTGTGGAGCATGCCCCAATAGATGTCATTAATCAAGTTAATGAAACACAATGTCAATAAGAACCCTAACAAGATTCCCTTGCAAACCAATGGCCTGGCTGACATCAACATGAGAAACCCTGCTAATGGAGTAACTGTCGTCCCTGTTTGACGAGGAGGATTACAAGCATTAGCCACAGAGTTGGGATGAATAAGTGCATGTGGGGAATGTAAAATGAATAGGAAGAAAAGGTGAACACAAACAACTCTGCATTGCTCCTGGGTGATTTATTTGTAGATACAGAGAACAGACAATATTAGACTGGGTTGAGGTTATGCCTGGTAACAAAAAGTAAAATATGAACAGTGATAGAAGAAGGTAGAGCCTAATTATACTGTGTTAACTGATCCTTACAAACAAACAACCTTCAGGTTCATCAGAAGTTCTTTCTTTGAATAATTTATTTTAAGGATGAGGCTGGTAATATTCTACTGTTTATTTCTTGGAGTCATTGGATCCTATGAAGAGACCAAGACCAGCAATGTGTTAGTCCATCTCTCAGTACTTTATTACTTTCCTGTTTGTCGCTTACATTTTCAAGCCCAGTAGTTCCTTCTGAGGACAGAAATCTTCAAAAACAGCTCACACACATGCTCTTTCACT